TCCTCTCCCTCTCTCCCTTGCATCATCCCATCAACGGCTGCTGCCTCCACGTTTGACATGCCTAGTCACCCGAGTCTCTCACTTTAAAATAAGTACTCGAGTCACTGAGCGGACTCCGGGACCGTCCGATCTGATCGGTTGGAGCGGCCCGGCCCACAGCGCCGGCCGCTACGACCCTGAGTGAGGAGGCTACACGGTGGAGTTGGGCACGCCCTTCAGTGGAACCGATCGGACTCACTGTCACGGGCCCGGGCCGGCCCGGGCCGCGGCGGCTGCACTGCAGGCTCCGAACGGGCCCGGGCCGGTCCCAGTGCCGCCGCTTCATTCAATGATGATGATTGTCAATGATCGGCGGATAACTTATTCTTTACTCCAAAGGGCAGGCGATTTACGGTTGTACGGTATATGCACCCCCCAGGCGTGTAAAAGCGTGTAAGGTCAAAAATAGTTTTAATGTTTGAAACCTTGTTGTTTGGAGGAAGCAAGAATACTTGTAAACCTAAAACTGCTCGACACGGTCCCCGATTCAAACATACTTTCAACCATTATCGAAGTTTCTGGTACAAATTTTCAGTGCGCCGACCATTCAAAAATCCTGGGCTGAAGTACCCCGCTCGAAAATGATCAAAAGCGAGTCGGACACTGTCGCACAGGCCAAACGGCGAGAAGAGAAAACCGACAGCGGAGAGGATCCCATTGAACCAAAGGGCAAGTTAGAATGACTCGGTCGGACTCCGGGCCCGGCGGAACTTCCGAACGGAGCACCCGCGATGATGGCAGCGAAGGACAGCCACCACAGAAAGCGCAACACATCATCCTGCAAGTCTGTTAGTAACCCCGCGGATAGACCGTCGGACTGTACGCAAAAAACAACCGCGGCGCGGCGCTGAGACTGGTCATGACACTGCGGCTTCAACCGTGACCGGGTTATTATGATACAAGTTCGAAAAAGGACATCTGGGGATGCCATGAGTGGGGTTTGAACCCACGCGAACAGACGTTCAAATGATCTTAAGTCATTCCCCTTAGACCACTCGGGCATCATGGCCAATACGTCTTACTAGTCATTCTAGCGTATATAAAGACCAAGTTATGGGGTAGGGTACTTCATTGTTGGAGGTAGGGGTCAGTAGGTTGTTGTTATGAGGTGTGATTCCAGGGGTAAAATGATGGAGATGAGGGGGTAGGCAGGTAGTTGTAACTCAAAATAGGGGTAGGGGTCTGTTAGAGAGGGGTAGGGGGTAGTAGGTGAAAGATGGCAATGCTGCGTTCTTCATTCCGAATAGCTGGCTTCTCCCTCCCCTCCCTCCTCCCTCCCCTCCCCTGCCCTCCCCTGCCCTCCCTGCCCTCCCTCGCCCTCCCTCGCCCTCCCTCGCCCTCCCTCCCTCCCCTCCCCTTCCCTCCCTCCCCTCCCTCCCCTCCCCTTCCCTCCCTCCCCTCCCTCCCCTCCCTCCCTCCCCTCCCCTCCCTCCCCTCCCTCCCCTCCCTCCCCTCCCCTCCCCTCCCTCCCCTCATGATCACTGATTTTTCCTGCATCTCCGAGCTGATCACTGCTGCTCCTTGCTCACTGCTTCCCTTTCTTCCCTCTTCATTTTTCTTGATCGTCAAGCCCGCCTTTCTTCGTCCAACCATGCCAAACTCCTTCCTACCTTCTCCTGCTAGCTCCTCCGCATCTTACTTTCCATCTTTCCTTCCACTCTCATCCTCGTGATCCTCGCTCATGCACACAGTCAGTGTTCTCTCTTGTCCTTGTTCTCTTTTCCGCCTCCTTCTCACCTTGTCACTGTTCGGCTTTCACCCTGTCCTCTCAATCACTCTGAGCCGTCCTCCTCCTCCTCCGATGTCGTCATCCTCTCTCTCTCCTTCTTCCTCTCCCTCATCTACCCTCCTCCTCTCTGCATTGAAGCCTCGCTTCCCCTCGTCCCCTTCCAGGAACAGCACACAACCGGCATACAATCACTGTTGGGAAGAGATCGGATCACAACTTTCATTCACGGGCACACATGCGCCTCTCACTACTCCAACGCTCATACCGCGAGGCTTTTCCTCCTCTTACAAGTTCAATCGATCCTTGGCCGCCTGCATCATCTTTAGATCCTCTTCCTCCTCCGTCCCCCTCCCCCTCCCCCTCCCCCTCCCCCTTCTCCTCCTCCCCCTCCATACCTTAGCAAGCGCATCCAACTTCGCTTTCCAATCGAAGGCTGGCGCGTCCTCCTGAGGCTCTGCTGCAAGTCAGATGGGAAAGAGGCAGATAGGAGGAGGGGGGTGAGGGAGGGAGAACGAGAGGAGAGGGAGGGGGGAGGGAGTGGGAAAGGGGAGGAGGGGGAGAGGGAGGGGAGGGGGAGAGGGGAGGAGAACGAGAACTAGAGGAGAGGGGAGGAGAACGAGAACTAGAGGAGAGGGGAGGGGAGGGGGAAGGAGGGAGGAAGGAGGGAGAGGAGAGGAGAGGAAAGGCAGCATATGGCGGACCTTGCTTGGTCGACGTGACTTTCTTTTCCTC